TTCATTGTTTAGTTGATTTTATTTGTTTAGAATGATTAAACAGGTAAAAATAATTTATTTTAACTTAGTTGAAAATGATAGAGTAATTAAGAAATAAACAATTATATAATTTGTATCACACATTCCCTTTGTGATATAAATTTTATCTCATTAGTTAGCAATATTTCTAAATTAACATTGGAGAGAGACCATTCAAACTGGCATAAACTGTACTTTTCTATCAATCACTTAAATGAATGTAAAGTATATTTGTACTGATGACATCTACTTGGGTGGACCAACATTCTTATAGTAAAAGAGTATATAAATTCAAAACATCTTGACAAATTGGAGAAATGGAAAGATAAATCAAATTGAATTTAATAGGGACAAAGTAGAGGATAATTTATTTGAGCAGGAAAATAATATCCAGAAATAATAGGAAAGAACTGTTTAGTAGTAGCTAAAGAGAGAGTTAATGTTTATAGTGAAATAGAAAGATATTACAAATTACAATTTAGTATGATAAAGTAAGGAAAAGTGATTTTGAATGGATATGACATTTAGGAAATGTGAGGCATATGTAGCATACATCATACCTTCATTAGAAAATTTTAAGCCATTTTAAAATGAAATTGTCTTGGAGAACAGGAAGAGGTTTAAAGGCCACATGCCCCCACCAAAAGGATTAAAATGATCTACTATGTTAGATGCTGGACACATTAACAAGTAAATAAGCAGAGTATTATTAATAAAAACTTGCAGTATTTTTGTATTCTCCTATCTTTAAATAATACGTAGGTTAGCTAGATATTCCTCATTATCCGTCTAGAATTAAAATGTCATGAAGAAAATTAAGATATTTTCATATGCTATCAATCTATTTTTAGTTTTCTCTGGAAGTACCAGTGAACTAAAAAAATAAAAAAATAAAATATAGCTGCTCAGTTTGTTTTTTATTCTTCACTAGAATCCTGGCACGTGACTGTGACTGTATCTAATTAGATAAATGTTTCTTTCACATAATTCTTATCTYAGTTCTTGTTACTCTGTACGGACTCATAAAAATGTGAGAGGAGCTTTCCCAAAAAATAATATGGAATCATAGGATGATGTTTTTCAGCAGGACTCAGAGGGATGAACCTTAGAGTTTCCTCACAAGCTGATCCACATATTATTTTAAGTCTTTGTTGACATGGCCTCAATTACTCTTTACTTCCCACATTTGCCTAGAGCTGTCTGTCTATATTTTCTTTTTCAGAGATCATATATAAGAGTTGAGTTTGGAACTCATTTTTTTTAAATGAGTTAAATGAGTTTAAGATAATCTTAATGACAGTTTTAATAACTTGGTGACTTACTTTGCATGGAAAAAACCCCTGGGAATTGTTTTCTTTAGTTTAGTAAGGWAAGATTAAAGGGCAGATAGGAAAATGAATTAAACTATAAAAATTAATGCTATACATTTTCAGTGCCACTAGTTCACAAAAAATTTAAAAAGCATTGTCATATGTATGATGGTAAATGTAATTTTATTCTTAGAGATGATTATAGGACCTATAGGACTAAAGCAAAATCTGTTACAAGGGAGTTGAGTGTCATAGGTCAGTAATTTGAAAGTTGTTTTGTTCTTATTTTTTTTATTGGCAATTGAACCCAAAGGCACTTAACCACTGAGCCACAACCTCAAACCTTTTATTTTTTTTAATTTTGAGACAAGGTTCCGTTAAGTTGCTTAGGGTCTTGCTAAGTTGCTGAGGCTGGCCTTGAATTTGTGATCCTGCTGCCTCAGCCTCCTGAGTCACTGAGATTATGGGCATGCAGCATCATGACTGGCAGGCTGATGATGTTTAAAAACAAACTAGTTTTAAATATTTTAAAATATAATGCTGTTGAAATAATTCAGGTATTTTTAAAGTGAGATGTACTTGGAGTACAGTGTAATGTTTAAAATATCAAATAGTATTTAAATGGCATAATTCTTCTAATTTTCTTTGAATCAATTGAGAAATAATTGTGTATTTCTCATCAGTTGTCTTCATTGAATTATTTCAGTAAAAAGAGAGAATCTTAAAAAAAAACATTGGAGCTACAGATTGCTTAGTCATTGAATTGCTATTCTAAACACTGAAAATCGTCAGGATTAGCCAGTAAATATCATTATAAAACTTTTAATTTTGCTTTTGTTTTTATTTTGTCCACTTTTATATTTTTTGGCTAAAACTGACCGTAATATCTAAATAACATTCTCATGTATTTCTCAACATTTCTGCTTTTAGCTATTAGAGAATGATACCAGGGCCRGTGGACAGAGAAATTAAAATGGCACAGAAAAAAATGATTGGCTACTCCAAATTTCATAGCCTATAACAGTAGTTTGCTTAAGATTCACACATCATTTCTTCTTCATCTACTAATTCTGTATTATCATGTATTTTTATGGTTCTATTATCTTGGCATTTAAATGCATTTATTTAAAATGCATTTGAGAGCAAAATCTTTTTTTCTTTTATATCTTATTTTCCCCTGAATAACATTTTATTTAAATTCAGCTTCAAACCACACTCAAGAATTCCAGAAAAAAATTTGTTTACTTCACAGTGTACTTATTAAGCTCAGTCATCTTTCATTAAAATATTGTTTATTTTTATTAAAAATACTTTTCCAAAACAATTCCCCARTTAGAATAAATTTATAAAATTATTAAATTAATTTGTAAATTAATGACTGTCACACTTCATATAAGGGGTGATATAGTGATTTTAATRTATAGTTATATCAGGTTTATGCTGAACTTTTCATTTCTGCTCTTTGATATAGTTTACTGAGATGAATATGTATTTTCTTTAAATTAAAGAGTAGTCACAGGGTTTTAGAATGCTCAAATTATCTTGAAATTATTTAAGCACACACTCTCCTTTTATACATTAATAGTTGAAAATATTAACCATTGTGTCAATTTTTACATTTGGTGTCTATTGATTTTGAAAATACATCACTACTTGCACAGTTTGATAAAATGTTAGACCAACAGTATTATTTAGATCCAAATTATTAATGCCAGTTAAAATATTTGTTTGGCTTTCATTTTATTTAGGGCAGAGTTCAATTTTCTTCGCATTTACCAACATTAAAATGTGGTAATTTTTTATGTTCACATGACTATATGGTATAACACAGTGTACTGGGGTTAATAAAGAAAAAAATGGATAGAGAATTTGCTTTCTAAATAATATAGTTTAAAAAATCCTTCTTGAACTGTTCAATAGAAATAGAAAAACTGTTTCATAACACTGCACATTCTATAAGTTTTATCAACTTTTTTGAAACTTAAGAATTTCAAATTTGCCTATGACTGGCAGACTTTTATCAAATCAACAAATTCTTCAAAGAATGACAATTAGAAAAATCTTTTCATTTG